AAGAAATGATGAAATAATGAAATCTGCAGGTAAATGGATGGATCTAGAAACTGCTATGCTAAATGAAGTATAACACAGATTCAGAAAAACAAAAGATATATGTTCTCTCTCATTTGTGGATCCTAGTACCAAATCCTTACAAGTGAGTGCATATCCTGATGCAACTGCAGGGCCAAGAATAAGGAAGGGAAACAGGGAGTTAAAGAACGAAGGAACCCAAGAGAGAAGAATAGTAGGATAAAGGTGTTACTAAAAGAGAAATATGTAAAATGGGAGTAAAGGGGAGGGGGGGTCTTAAGCACAGAATGAACCCTAAGGGAATGGAAGAAAGCCCTTCCAGAAGTGATGTGGTTGGTCATTAAACAAAAATTCCAGGGGTGGGTTGTCCCCTATGAGCTGTTGGCCTGCCTGGAGGTCCCCCAAACAATAAAGGCCAATGCCAATAATGTGGACAGAAGGACCCTATTGCTGAAGACACTGCTTGATGTGAGCACAGGAGAGGGGAAAATCAAGATTGGCCTAAGCTGGAAACTCCCTGCCACTGGATGGGTGGCTTTCATGGTGCCAAAAAGCAATATGTAGATGACTAGGGGAGAATTGGTCCCTATAATTTTGCTCAACAATGGACCTTACGTGTTGCATTATCAACATACCAAACAAGATGTTCCTGCTAGTGCAGTAGTGGAGTATCTAGTTTATATACAACCAGCAAATTTTTGATTGGTTATAATGCCCACTCCTAGGGGTGGAATACACATCTGGTACTGTAGACCAGACCAACCCCCTGTGTCAAGGGAGAATATAGGCCCCAGTGAGAAGCCACTGCAATTGTTTTGTTAGATGGATGTGATATACCTGCTAAAATACTAAGTATTTGTGTTTATACCCATAGGTTGTTATTATAGTAGCTGCTGTTTAGATCTTCTTGCTTCTTGCTGTTCGTGTTCTTATAGTAGATGGAATCCCACTGAAATGAGCCAAAAGCCTATGGAAAACTGCCAGTGCAGAGACCCAAAAGTTCAGTGCCTTGCCACAATAGAAGGCAAATCATCCCACACCTTCTATCCCCTCCAAGGCTCAGGGACTTTTGCAGAATAGGTTGGTGGAAAGAATGTAAGAGCTGGAGGAAGGGGTGGAGTGGTGACTGGAAGTGTCCTCTGACTATTGTGCCACCAAGTTATGATCATACCTCCTTCCCACACTCATCAAGGAGTCAAGGGGTACTCAGTTACCCCTCCCACCCAATCAGTTGACCTTTGTTGCACGTGGGGGAGAGGCTAAGGATATATAATCTGAGAATGCCAGAAGGTACATCTCTCACCATTTTATGCAGCTGTCAGGAAGTCACAGGATCTATATTTGAGTGTGGACTTTCTAGTGCAGCCATAAATGGGGGGTGCCCACTCCTTTGTAACTAAACTTCCACCCTATGCTCTGAAAAAAAAAGAAAATGATAGGTGTTTAGATAGATAGATGAGAAGGATCTGACTAGATTGCAAGTGGGTGGACTTGCACTGGGGAATGTCTGGAGACACTGACTTGACACAGTGGGCCTTAACACCCAGGGGACAGAGTATATGGCTTCCAGTGGAGAAGGCCTATGGGAGGGTTCTGGTGGGGATGGGGCTATAAGATGATTCAGATTGTTTGAGATATTCTGCATTAAATACAACAAAATTTAATAAAAAGAAAATTTTTAAAAGTCTGCAGAATTCTGATCCTTGGACAGTACTCCTATATTAAACTTCACCCACCCAGGGCTCAGGCAAATATATATATTGCTCATAAATGAAGGGAGATATTACCAATGTACGTAAGAAAGTTGTGGTAGTGACTGTGGGGGTACTGCAGGGCTTGGGGCATATGCTCCCTCAGGAAATGGGACAGTGAGAACCTAGAGAGGCTTTGGAGTAGAACCAGAGTTTACATGTATGAATCAAGCTGAAGGAGGATAACAAGCATAAGACAAATATGTCTCTAGGAGTCCTGCTCTGGTACCTGCTTGTATTTAGGAGATTCCTTTTAAGAGTTGAAAAGCATCCCATGATTTTGCTGTTAAGGCATTATCTGCTATATGGTTCATGTTTGTTAAGCAAATTTGGAAGGCCTTTAGGTTAGTCACAAATGTTCAGTCAACCCAGGTCTCCTGTTTCAATTGTCCTCCAAACTGCTCTCACTCAGAACTGCCTGAATCCTGAAGGCATTTGACTTATGATCTTCAACTTCCACATTGTGTGCTCTGGCGACCTCAGGCAAATAAATAAGCAACTATGCACAAAGCCCTGGTCAACTCAAACTTTTCAAGAGCTATTTTCAGACACCAGTTCCTCAACACATGGATGCTGGCTGAATGGACTCTTCTTGTTTTTGTCTTGCAGGGAAGCGGGCTTGCCTTGGGGAACAGTTGGCCAGGTCTGAGCTGTTCATTTTCATCACTTCCCTTATACAAAAATTTACCTTTAAGCCCCCACTCAATGAGAAGTTGAGCCTGAAATCCCGAGTGTCCCTCACCCTTTCCCCAGAGAGCCACCACATCTGCGCTGTTCCTAGGCTGTAATGTTGGAGAAGAAAAGAGAAGTGACGTGTGTTCTTAAGCCGCTGATGTGTGTTCTCATACGAGGGGAGAAAGTGAGGATAACTGAGGAAACACAGTTGTAATAAGATTATGGAAACTGAATCCAATTTCTGGACTGCTAGATCTCTACATTGGTGCTGGGAAAATCACTGACGTGCTCAGTGGTATATCTTTTCTTCTAAAAGCTACAAAGGGAATGATGGTTCCTCTAGCTTAAAAAAAACATTTGTAAGAATCACATGATATAATGGATTAAAAGTGATTTGTAAATCATAAAAATATAATTAAAAAGTTATGTTATAATTTGCCTTGTCCCTTCTTCCTTTCATAGATATATATTTGCTTCTGGTCTGTTGAGTAATTCATCTGAGAGTGATACAAAGAGTGAATAGAAGTTGGAACTGGATCCTGGATACAGTCAGGAAAGATGACTAGAAAGGCTCTCTGACTTGGGAAGTGTGAAGCTGCCTCCTCTTGCTCTGCCTTTCAGTGTTCCTCTTAAAAGTCAGAAAGGCAGGATAATTCCCAAACTACAGGGAAGCTAAGAAAGTGATGTAGAAGCAGTTTCTACTATTTATAGTATCTCAGCATTGACCTTGGACCCAGGACCTGATAAGATGTGATCACAAATGATCAAACCCTGGAAGCAGGTTTAGGAGCAAATGGTGAAGATTTTCTATCTCCATAGTATCTCATTGCCTTCAGTCCAGACATATATCCCCAGTCTTTTCACATAGGATTCTGTCTATTGTATGACATATGAACTTCTCTTGGAACTGGCCCATAAGTTCTGATGGTTTACATTACCACCTTGAACTGACTGGGCCCTAGCAGAGCATTTTACAGTCAGACATGAGAAATGGCAGAATCCTTGCTGGGTTTGATCAGTGGGGACATAATCACCATAAAATAGGTCAGGCAACACTGTCAGGGAGTTTTCAGCCTTACTCTATTTCAAATAAAGCAAAATATGTTAATAAGGAGGCAATATCACAACCAAAGCTATTTTTAAAAATATTTTATTATTTTTATTTTGTGTATATGAGCAGATCGCCTGCATCTAAGTAAGTGTATGTAAGTGTACCCATCTCATGTAATGCCCACAGAAGTCAGAAGAAGGCATCAGATTTCCCTGGAACTGGAGTTACAGATAGTTGTTAGCTACCAGATGGGTGCTGGGAATTGAATGTGGGTCTCTGCAAGTGCATCCAGTACTCTTCACTGCTAAGCCATCTCTCCAGTCCCCCAAAGCTCTTTTTATTTAATAGGCTAGACCCAAGGAATTTAAATATCTCAGAAACAAACAGGCCAATGACAATTTGTTTTTTCTTCCCATTGGGATTCAGTGAAAAGCATATTTATCCAATGCCTTGAGAGAAAGCACAGATGGTGTTAAAATGTAAGCACTTGTCTGGGCTAGCCTGAGGTAGTTAAGGAGAGCATATCTAGAGAGAATAGTTATTCTTTAGTGTAGAAAATTTGGTCCCTCTTACCAGATAAAAGGAAAATGGAAGAGAGTGGGCACTACGTTCACTTCTTTTTTTTTTTTTTTTTTTTATTTTAACATCCTTAATCTCTAGAAAACAGGCAAGTAATGTTTAAGGATAAAACCATCCATAGCAGGCCTTGAGGTCCCCCACCATAGGCAGCTTCTCTCTGCCTCCCAACCCACCTTCCTTTTCCTCTGCCAAAATCACATTATCTAAGTAGGTTCTTCATGGGAAACTGGTCAAAATCTTTAAAAATTTATTTTTATGTTTTATTTATTTATATGACTGTGTCTCTCTGAGTGTGTACACCACATGTATGTGATGTCTAAGGATATCAAAAGAGGGTTGACACCCACACCCCTGGAGCTGGAGTTACAGGCAGTTGTGAGCTGCTTGACATCAGTGCTTGGAATCATACTCAGGTCCTCTGGAAGAGCAGTAAGTACTATTAACTGCTTAGCCATCAATATCTTTGTATGGCTCAGTCTCCTCACCTGAAAATGAGGGCCTTTGTTCATGTTGTCTCTGCATCCCATTCCTTATCCCTTTTACAATTTCTATGATTCTAAATGATCAACCAAATATCATCTACTTTACCATGAGCACAGTATGTCAGAATTATAGATGAAGACATTTTGCCTTTCCAAAACACCAAAATTCATTGAGTAACAATAAATTCATAACTAATTGTGGTTTGAATGGAAGCAATTTTCCAATTATTCTTACATTTTTGATAGCCTTGGCCAAAGCAAACACAAATTCTTTTATTAAATACTAACTCTCAGATCACACATTATACACCGTGCAATAAACATATACCTCTTTATCTAAAAATATAGATGTTGGAGTGCTACAAACGGTTCAGTGACAAGGAGTTTCAGGGAGTTTCAAAGGGGCCTCAGAAGTCAAAGCTGGGAAATTGATAAGAAATGTCCCTACTGATAAAAACCCAGTGGGAGCTGCAGAAGCTAGATGAGTAGTGGTGGCTGCCAGTAAAGACACTGTGGTCACAGGCTTGACTGCACAGACAAAAAAAAAAGGTAGATGGGTTGATGGCAGGTCCAGATAGTCCAGACGAGTAGGCCATGTAAACCAGGTCAGCAGTGGGGGACCAAGCCTAACTGAAACCACTGGGATAGTCGGGAGTCCTCTGCCTGTTCTTCCTTGATACGTACACTGGGTGGTCAGATGACAGGCTGCCGGAGGAGGCCATCATAATTTCAGTGCTAAGGGTCCAGTTAAAGGACTTACCTCCTTTCCTTGGTTTGGTGCATCCAGTAGTTTTTTCACCTATTAGATCACAGACCTTCCAGAATGAGCCCGGAATCTGGACAGGATCCCCTGCAACCTGAATTTTTCTCTCCAGATATAGTAACAAAAGAACTCATGGGCTCTTGCTGGCATTGCTGAACACACAGGGACTTCAGGCAAAACATAGCCAGCCTCCTCTTGTCAGGAACCCAAAACAGCTTAAATGATAACCCTATACCTTTATGTGATACCTCCAAGTATATCTTACAGCTTATACCATGTGTTGTTAACTTGGAGAACATTTCCCCTTAGAAATCTATAAAAGCAATTAATTTCCTTTGTCCTATAGGCTGTTGTTGCTGTTGAGATCTATTTCTCAGACCCCATGCTATGTCTATAGTGTTATTAAAAGACCTTTTACCTAAAACTTATCTCAGTGCTTTTATATCAGTCATCAAGAAACATTTTTAAACTTTTATCTAACATTGCTTGCTTTTTATGATATGATTTTAATACATCATATGCCCTTTCATTTCTAATTTATCCCAATAAATTTATTTCTGTTCCTAGGAATGTCATGAATCAGTTTGTCCTACAAGTGTGATACCAGACAGATGACTCTGTTTATGTGTCCACAAAGGTGCACAATAAACCTCCATTCTCAAAATGGAGTCAAAAGATACATATAAAATGGAATCTCTCAGGGCAAGGCACAGTCTGATAAACCACTGTTTTACATGGTATGTTGTAGCTTAGAGCAGGGCACAGCCTGGTCTTAGCACACTAAATATAATATTTATATAATAATCCCAACCCCATGGATGCAAATTGGACCTAGTACCAAGTATTCTGTAACCACAATAAACCAGAAAGTTTGAGGGATAGTTTACTGGGAGCCCTAGTGGAAATTTCCAAACATAAAACGTCTTCTGTTTTTCTAAGTTCATTGTAAAATACCAGTCTCTTTTCCATCCAAGAATACATGAAAATTTTGTGAATGCAATTTACAACTCTCCATTCTCATTTATTTTGGATGCTATTGTATTCGTTCCCCTCTTCATTTCTACAGGGCAACATGAATTTTCTCTCATCACTCTCCTACAAAGAGACGTAGATTTAGGTATGCTTCAGTGAAAATTTAAAATCACACAGGCCCATAAAGGTCTTTCAACAGAAGAGAAAGGCACACACATGCCCTTAGTTTTAAGAACTGAGTACAGCTGGATTATATACACCAAGGGGTGGTCCAGGATATGACAGACCTGAATCAAATTCTCACTTGGTAACTAAGTAGCAAAGATTGTTTTCCTGGAGAGAAAGAAGCCTAGTCAGAACAGGAAGTTTCAGAGTTTTAGTCTGGTGTCCTACCTTCCTCCCCTTGGGCTTATTCAAGCTTACTGATCCAACTTTTAATCTAAGCATCAAAGGGGGAAGGTGAAAAATGCTAGAATGAAGTTCCTAGGGATATGCACATGGGTTACGTGACTTCACGAAGACATTTAAACCTTTAGGTTTCTGCTCCTTCCTCAAAAATGGGATACGAGAGCAGAAATCTCACAACCTCATGGAAAGGATAAAATTCAGAGGTGAAAAATTTTGCCTATGTAACACATTTGATGGCAGAGGACTTCCTAAGGAGCAATACAAAACTCACTTTATTCCCACCATACCTATCACATGACTTTCCTGGAAAGCCATAAGCAATCACCCCAAATATAGAGAGCTCCAGAAAGTCTAGCTTGGTGAACCAGTGTAACGTAGGGTTACTACAGGAGTTTGAATGATTCAAAGGCAGTTGTACCACCAGGAAACCTTTAATCACCTAGACATGAATCACCTGTTGAATGAATAGGTTTCAAAGATTTTTTTCCCCATTCTGTAGGTTGTCTCTTCACTCTGTTAATTATCTTGTGTCAGGAAACCTCAGAAAAACAGAACCAAACTTCTAACTCAACAACGTCAAGGCTGAATTTCATATCAAATACACAACCAACAAAGGAAATCCATATGCCCAGGTCACAATGCAAAAACACAAATACTGTGAAAAAGCAAGGTAATATGTCCCCTCCAAATCCCACCCATCCTACAATGAGAACGACCCAGAGAAACTCCAGAACACGGTATGGAAAAAGAACAATCATAAACATGATCAAATAATTCAATGACTTTAAGGAATACAAAAACAACTCAAAGAACTCAAAGAGGATAGGAATAGACTTCTGACTTGAAGTGCAAGAAAATACAAATATATGGCAGAATGAAATGACAAATACAATTTTGGGTTTGAAAAGTAAATTCATGAAAGAGATAGAAATATTGAAGAAAACTCAGGCTGAAATGACGATGACCTGAAAAATTCAATAAGCCAATTTGAAAGGACAGGAGAAAGACTAACCAAAAGAATGAATCAAATGAAAATAGAATATTAAGACTCAATGATAAAGTTGAAAAACTGGACCACTAAAGCAAAAAATATGAAAAAAATTATATTTAGTTTGTCTTTATTTCTTAACTTACTAACCAGAGGCACACCATGTGTTCCAATCATGAAATGAAATCATT